TGGGGTTGGGGTTACCATAAATTAGAGTTAAGGGCTTTCAAGTATTTCTATTTACTATTGTGTTAAGAGGTGTATTTTGGGGGAAAGGGAGGGAGAGTGGGTAAAATGTGCAATAATGCATAAAATGAATGAAAGCCCAACTTTTCTGTAAACTTTTGTTAAAATACCAATTAAAATAAAAAAATAATAAAGAGTTGTGTTTTTGGAAAGCCATGGAGTGCTGTTCAGATAATGGTGGCCATGATCTGGACTTCACTCACTATCCTCTCCTCTCTTCCCTCAACTCTCACAGCTGCCGGGATAGGACAAGGTGTACTCAGGTGAAGTACTGAGGGTCAGTTGAGTGCAGAGAACTCCTACCTTCCATCTTGATTCTGGCCAAATCATCTCACCCCCAAAAACCCTATGGTCATATCTTTTTTTTTTTTTATGGTCATATCTTAATCTTTGGAACCTGTAAATATGTTACCGTGAGTTCAAAATGAACTTTGCAGATGTGATTAAGAATCTTCAGATGTAGAGACTGTGCTGTTTACCTGGGCGCATCCAGTGTCATTACCCGCACCCTTATAAGAGAGAGGCAGAGAAGAACCAAGATGCTACACTGCTGGCTTCAAAGGTGAAGGCAGGGTCTGTAAACCAAGGAAAGTAGGTGTCCTCTAGAAGGAGAAAAAGGCAAGGAAATAGACTCTTCCTTAGAGTCTCAAGATGAAGTCTTGAGCCGTGTGGCCTCTAAAGGAATCAGTGAGAAGAATGTGTGGCTTTAAGTCAGTGACGTGTGTAATAATTTATTGCAGCAGGAAGAGAAAAGTCATATACTGCCTTTTTGTGAGCCTTGCAAACAAGCTGTCAAGCTCCTTCGCAACTCAGAGCCTTTACACGTGCTGTTCCTATGGCCTTTTCTACCTGTTCATTCACCTGTTTAATCTTGCTCATGCCCTGGTTTTTACCTAAGTGCCTTTCCTTTGGACAACATTCTGTGATTGTCCTCTGCGTACACTTAGAGCTATGAAGGTATCTCCTAAATTAGCACATTCCAAGGAACTCCTGGTGGCCCACTGCCTCTCTGTAGTCTGGAGTTTCATCAGTCTTTCCCCAGTCTTGCTCCATCCTGTGTTTATTTAATGTCACTCTACTAGATAGACAGAAGACTCTGTGAAATCAGATTCTGGCTCAATGGATGTTTGCTGAGTGTACAGAAGGGTGGCATGGCCAGCTCAGCTCCACCCCACAGTGTTGCCCGGGGCTCTTCTTGAGAGGCACTCTTCCCTCCATTCTTTTCATTTCTTCTCCACTCATTCATTCAATAAACATTTCTGCCGCACCTCGTAGCTACCTGGTTCTCGCTCCGTGACCATTTCAGATGAGTAGATGGAAAAGTGCCATTAAAATCACATTTGGAGAAATAGGAAAGGGAAGTAGAGACGGCACTGAAGTAGGAGGGCTGGAGTAAGCAGGTATGCTGTTCAAAGGACGGCACAAATCCAGGTTCTAGTTCAAGCTTTAACTGATAGATGTCCAGGTATGAAAGAACCCTCTAACATGCACACAGGTGGCCATGCCCTAAGCTGTGTGCTGCTCCAGCGGGTGCAGAGTGTTATCACCCGCCGTGTGTTTGCAGAGGCTGTCGACGAAGCATGACCACTTGCTTCCTTGCTTGGGTCCTACTGACTACACGTCATAGTGACTCCATGGACAATGGATCTGAACCATGCCCCATCCTGTGCCGGCCTCACCATCTATGATACACTTGAGCCCATTGTCACGGTCACTATGTCAGGCCTTCTTATTGAAGGTCTTCCTCTCTTTCACTTCCCCTCCACCTTTCCAAGCATGATGTGGAGGAAGAATATAGCAGTTGCCCCCCACCCTTACCCCCAAGCTTGATCACTTCCTCAGAGACTTGATAACATCTAAGCTGGTCATATCAAAGATCAGACCAGACAATGGATTCTGATAAAGGTCTGAGCCTGATGAAAATAGCTAAAACCTAACTCAATTAACACACCAAATTCTGAGAAATACCATCTTAATCATCCTCAGGACCCCTATAAGAAGGAAACTCAGACTGTCCACGTGCCTGCCATTTCAATCCTCTCCCCACATGCTGTGCAGCCAGATCACTTGGCGTCCTTCTCAGACCGTGCAGTAAAGGCCTGCTTGTTTCTTGGGACCAGCTTCTTTTTCTCTTCTCTCCCTTGCCCTTGTGCTCTATTTTCTATCTAACATGATGTCTTTTTCTAATAACTGGTTCATCTTGACAATGTGCCCAAAGTATGAGAGATGAAGCTTCACCAGCCTTGCCTCTAAGGGGTACTCTGGTTGCACTTTCTTCAAGATGTATTTGTTTTGTTTTGTTCTGTTTTCTTTTGGCAGTCCATAGGATATTCAGTACTCTTCTCCAACACCACAACTCAGAAACATTGATATTTCTTCTGTCATCCTTAGTTATCATCTAACTTTCAAATGTATAACAAGTAGTTGAAAACACAGTGGCTTGCATCAGATATAACCTGACCATACTGCCTGTGTTCTGTGCTTAAAACCCATTTCAAAGACTTTGTAGCTATGTGACCTTGGGCCCATTGATTACATTCTCTTATACATATTTCCTGCTCTGTAAATCAGAAATGACTACTAGTCACTACCTTGGGGCACCTAGGGAGTCCATGGGTGGTGCAAACAATTAACACTCACTTGCTAACTGAAAGATTGGAGCCACCTTTTAGAAGTGACCTCAGAAGAAAGACGGAGTGGTCTACTTCTCAAGGATTACAGCCATTGGAAGGGAGCTCTGGTAGTGTAGTCTGTAGGGAGTTGTTCCACTACAACAGATACCACTTTTTTATGTACACAATGGCTCCATAAGGTCAATATGGGCAATATTTGGGGGACGGGGGGAAGAAAAAGATAGGTAATGTCCTCTCTTGTGATTTACAGCTTCAGAAAGTCAATGAAAAGTCAATCGTGAGTTGATCACAGATCTTCTGTAACGTCACAGCCATTGAAATCTTGTCAAGGATGGTCAGTGCTACCCTGACACATACAGGGGAGTCCTGAATTGGAATTCATTTGATTTTCAAGTGGTTGAAATAACCAAGCACTGTGCCTAAAGCAGGGAATACAAACAATAGGGGCAAATGTCAGACTAAGACCATTCAAGGAAAACCCAATTACCATTGAGTTGATGCAAAGAAAGAAGGGCTTTAGACCTTGCATGTCAAAGAGGGCAGCTTAGGAATGTGTTATTCCCAACCTGAGGCTGGCCTTTGCATGCATAGAGCATGAGACTCTTGTTCTGGGCAAGAAAGGACAGAGCCCAAGTTCTTCTGTCTTCATCCCAAAACCTCCTTCAATCAAAATGCACACACACAAAAAAGATTCTAGAGCTTACAGTTGATGAGAGAGAAATTTTGTTTCTTCAATGCCCTTCTCACTGAAAGTCTTTCTCTTCCCTGGGTGGCTGCAGACAGCCTGGCCTCTTGTCTAACACCCCTGCTCTGAAACTGTCATTGTTAAAACCACTGTGGCCACTGTGCCAAGCTTTCAAGATGGAATTCACTAGCCAGAGGAAGATCGCCGATTGTCCCAGCCAGTTGTTAAGGTGACATTTCAGTTCATAAGAACATGAGGGAGTTATACAATCTCTCTGGGCCCAAGTTTCCCATCTTGTGAAATAAAAGTGTAGAATGCAAGGATCTTCCCAGGTTTTTCTGGCATTCTGTCATCTGCATCACACAGTGTGATCCATAGTGTCAAAGAGATTTAATTGTACGATGGAAAATAAGTGAAACTATTAGGCAGGGAGGAGAAGGAGGGTCTGTGGGGGTCTTGAAATTGCTACGATAAACCAGGGAGCTTTACCACCACTCCTTGTATATCTTTAGTCATTTGCAGTGTGGCAAGTTCCATGAGCTGTGTGTGGCTATCCTGTTGGTGCTGTCTGAGCTGCAAGTGGTTGGCCGCTCTCAGAATTCTGGGAGAGGGTGCAGGCGGCGAGGAGGAATCCGAATGGCATGCTCCTGCCAGGACATGGCAGACATGGGGGGTCTGAGGTAAGAGGAAGTGTAGATGCTCTCCCTGGTGTCCTTTCTGTGCCACCTCCGATTCAGCTGTTCATAGAGTCCGTAGTTTGTAGGGGGAACTGCAAGAGAAACCAGGGCTGAGGAGTAGGATCTCTCTCTGAACCATATCTTTTTGCATCAAAGGAGACTGCAAGGAGATGTATCACTGTACCACTGGTTGGGTGGGTATAGCTTCTAAGTTGGATCAATGCCCTCATCCACCTCAATTCCTTCAAAGTCTTACACAATTACGTGAACACCACAATCCACCTCCCTTATCATGGACTGAGACCCCTGCTCGGTTCTCCCTAATCCTGCCTTACTATTCTTCCTCCTCCCTCTCCTGGAATAATGTCCTCCCTAATCTTTCCATGGCTCCCTCCTTCTCCTTGGGTCTCAGTTCAACTGAGACCTTCCCTCAACATCCCATTAAAAGGAGGGTCACAGAGCCCTGTCTCACTTCTATCCACTAGCCTGTTTTTCTTCTCTTCACAGAACATAGTCTTATCTCAATCTTATTTTTTGGATCTTAAGCTATCTTATACACGGGTGCTGTTATGTACCATGAAGTTGGAACAAACCAATAACTGACTCTCCAGAAGACGGTTTATCAGAGGCTGTAAATTACCAGAAAAGATTGCCTATCTTTTTCACAAAGATCCACTAGTGGACTTGAACTAGTGAGCCTTTGGGTTAACAGCACAACTTCTCACCACTAAGCCACTAGAACTCTTTATCCTTTTCCTTAATAATGTGTTATTCCCCCCCCCCCCCCGATGTGTGAACAGCCCAAAGGCAGTGACTCCCTGGTGTTTGCCACTGCTGTGACCCTGGGTCCTGCAGCAGTATGTGAGACATAGGAATCACTCAGTCCCTATTTGTGCCCTGGTGGTGATAATGCACTTAACTGCTAAGCAAAAGGTTAGTGGTTCAAAGACACTTAGCTACTCTTTGGAGGAAGTATCTGGCAATTTGTTTGCATAAAGCCTAGGAAACCCAGGGGGTCAGTTTTGTCCTGTCTGACAAGGGCCTAGGATTGGTTGTAGATGAGACGACTGTTGTGATCCATAGGCCTTTTGTCAGCTAATTTTCAGAAGTAGACTGTCAGGCCTTTCTTTGTAATCTTTCTGGTTTGGAGACTAACCCAACCCACCCACTTCCATCATGTCAATTCCGACTCATAGCAACCCTGTAGGATAGAGAAGAACTGCAACACAGGGTTTCCAAGGCTGCAAATCTTTGTGCAAACAGACTTCTCTGCCTTTGCACCTACAAAGCCCCTGGTAGATTAAAACTAACACTTAATCCATGGCATCAACAGCTCTCCTTCTTAGTCTGGAAGCTCAGCTGAAATCAGTTTAGCATCTACCCAAGTTCTTACAACAACAACCAACACCACATTGGTAGAATGTCCTGGCTCATGCAGGGAGGTGGTTCTTTGTCACCTGTGCCCTGGGGCTGCTGCCCCCAGGTGGTGTAGTCATTATGTGGCATGGGAAGAGGACAGATGTCAGCCCTGAAGATGTCATTTTTCTAGTGGTTCATTACCAAGTTCTCCTGAAGGCCACGACCACCCCTGCAGCAGCTAGCCCAAGAGGGCCCACCTCTGACCCTCTATCCCTAAGCAGCTCTCTGCAGAGCCCAACACAGGAGAAAATTCTTGATCAAAACAGTACCAGGAAGGGGGAAGTCTGATGCCTCCGGCAGCCACAGCAACTTATGCCCATTCCAGGTGCGATATGGAGGCAGATGAGGATTGTAGTTGTGACGGTTGTAATGGTCGTCATAGGTGCTGATAAGGTAATTAGTCCTCGGCTCTTGATGGTGGGTAATCAGGTGTTTGTATGGGAGCCCCTGGAAGAATAAAATGCATTGAGCACATGATTGATCAAGCAAGGCAGTCTACCAGTAGTGGAAGGAGGCAGAAGCTGTGCAGGCTGCCTGTGGACCAAGCTGATGTGGTCACCTGAGTTCTCAGGGCCACCAGTGGAGAGAAACGCTTGCTCGTCACACCCTCCACATTTTTGCAGACAGTTCTCAGAAAGATCTCTCCTCTAATGCCAAGTCAATTCATCCCTAGGGTGAACTATGATGACACATTGAAATTAAAATCAGGACACACTGCTGAATGAGGTGTCTGCACTCCCATGATCTGAAACGATACCCTTGGATTTGTTTCAAGTCTCTTTCCATCTGAGTAAAGACTTTGAAGGCAAGAGAAAGATGCTGAATACCAGCCATTGACACGTTCACCTTACCTTTCAATCTGTTACTAGGGGAAGAATCAGAAGGCACCTCATAAATTGTCTTCTCCTTACAAAGGATTTATGGCTCCCTCAGCTGGAAACTGAGATAATTTCTTCAGTGGGGTATTATTTATAGGGAGAAGAAAGGCGGGTTCTGCCTTGCTCTGGGACATTTGCCTGAATCAGTGATTTTCCAAGAAAATCCTTTAGTCCTAGAAGGGGGCCTGGGGGGACTGGGCTGATTTACAGGGGCAGTTAATGTTGATTTCCATGCTGGTCTTCTTGTCTGGAGCAAACAGGAGGGACTGTGTCTGCTATGGTTGGGAAATGCTGCCCAGACCCACTATTTCAAGTGGCAGTTCCATAAATAAGTCAGATCACAATGCCAGAAGGAGACAGGAGGATGGGCCTAGACTATTAAGCAAGGGTTCCCAAGATATACATCACCAGGTGCCACTTGGTAGCTTCCCAGTGCCAGAAAAAGTGAGTTAAAGGGTTTCCCGTTGAGTAAGGATAGTGTTGAGGAGGCTCAGTGGCTCAACCCAGGGTTCTCGCTACATGGGGAAGAGAGAAGCCAACCTGTACTTTCTGGCCTCTTCTCTTGGGCCTCACAGTGGTGATTCTGAAGTAGAATTCTCACCTTCCAAGGGTAGACCTGGGTTTCCCCTTCCTAGTTAATGCACCTCCATCACCCTTCTGTTAGTAGAAGCTTGTGTGTTACCACAATGTGGAACAGGTGTTATCAGAGCTTCCAGATTAAGACAGGCTGGGACTGAGGCCTGGCGATTGACTTTCAGAAATTAGCAGGCAAGATTTTATCAGTCATGATGCTCTGATCTGCAACCCATTGGAGAGAAGGATAAAATGAGGACACATTGCATTGTCTTGCTTTTGAGGGTTCCATTGTGAGTTATGGGCAACTCAACTGCAGCTAACAGCACAGATGGTGAAGGGTTAAAGCTACTGGGAACCTCTGCATTTTGAAGGTATGTATCCTCAATGGGTGCTTGGAAATCGACTAGTGTCGCCTGGGCTGTGGGGCCATTAGAACCAAAGACCATCACTCTCACTTACCTCTATTTTCCTCTTCCCGTACCACCTGGAAATCAGGTCTGGTCGATGGTGTGGAAAGGGCACATACTCTTTTCTGTAAATGCACTCTGGTGTTTTCTCAGTGGTTCTGATGAACTGGAAAAGATCATATATTCCAGAGAACCTTTCAGATGCCCTCTCTCAAACATCTGCTTTCAGAACCCTTGAAGATGAGGTGGGGAAGAGGGAGACGGAGAGAGGGAGAAAGAGGGAGGGAGAGAGAAAGAGAGAAAGAAAGAGAGAGGGAGAGAGGGAGGGAGGGAGAGAGGAGAGAGGAG